CGGCGCGGTCTCCGCTTCCTTCTGCCGCATAAGCCACTCGCGGGTCTCTCGTTCCTCGGCGCACACGGCGCGCACCGCCTCCCGCTGCGCGTTCTCCGCGGCGAGGACCGCGCCGATGTGTGCGTCGTGAAGGATCAGCGACAACTCCTCCGCTGCGGTGTCGACAATCGCCTCACGCTCCAGCCGCTCATCGTCCATGATGTCCCACAGACGCTCCGCCATGGCCGTGTTCCGCAGCAGTAACGGCGCCACCCCCACCCCGTCCTCCCCGTCCTCCCCCGTGTCCCAATCTCTCTTCTCTTCCTCTGTTTCCGAGTCGTAGTCGTCGTGTTCATCAATGGATGTGGTTGCGGTCACTGCTGCACTCATCACCCCCCGCGAGGACGCTGCGATTTCGATATCTTCGCTTTGCCACGTTGAGGAATCCGTGTCAGTCATGTAACTGTAACGGATGGCATCATTATCATCACCGTCCCGTATCGGCTGCCGCGCGTCAGGACTCGACGACGCCGCACCCCACGAAGACACCATTTGCAGGGCCACCACAGATTCACTGTTATTCCTCTGCGGTCGACTCTCCTCTTCCTCGCTACTCTCCACCTCGTCATACCACGCGTTCACTCCAATGTGCGCCGCAGACCCGATACTCCATTTTTCCTCGCTAGCCGTCGCTGCCAAGTGATGTCGCAGGCCGTTCTCAGCAATCGTGATGAGCTGCCGGGCAGCCATTTCCTCGTCGGAGAGCAATGTGTGCCGTTCCGCATCTGTCATGGTGTTGGAAGCTGAATACGTGGAGCTTCTTTTGTCTCTCTTGTTGGAACCTTCCACCTGCGGCTTAGCGTTACTGTACTGAAGCGGTGTGAGTGCCTCCATTGCCAACTTCGGGACCCCCCTCAGGAGTGGCACATTATTGCGAGCAGAAGCAACAGCAGCGGTGGTGGCAGTGGTAGGTGACATTGCGCTGCTGGCCGTCGGCGAGTTCAGCTGCACAATGGGGAGCGTCATGCTGTAGAAATATGCGGCGTCCCTCTCGTCATGCTCCCTGCACTTGAGCCGGGTACGCACTCGAATTGCCTCCTGGTCGATGATACGCCGCGCCTCCGCCTCGCGTGTGCGCAACAGCGCCAGCATCTCCACCAGCGCGCCAATATCCTCGCGGCGACGGGCGATCTTCCAGTCGATGAGGTCATCCGCCACTTTGGGTGACCACATAGCCGGCACCCAACGGGCTACCGCCTGTAGAGAATGATTTACGTGAGGCACGACGCCCTCCTTCGGGTAGGCTGGGGCAGCAGCCGCAGCAGCAGTAGTACCAGTAGTAATAGTTGTCATTGCTTTTCCGTTATGACGCGAGGATGGTGTTGGCTTCCGTTGTTTCGGCTGCGGTGTGTATTGTGCAGAGAGCGACGGGATGAGTGTTTCTGAGGGAAGCGGCGAGAGTCTACCACCGTGCTGCTGTTTCCCTCCGCCGCGGCTCCTCGGCGTCATGACGAGGTCCTTCGGTTGCGAGCGCCGTCCCCACGAAAGGGTGCGGTACCTGCTGACTCTTTCCCCTTCAGCAATTGCGGGTTTCCGTGTGCTGTTCGAAGTCCTCGGTGAGGTGGTGCGGTACAACTGGGACGAGGACAATCGTTGTTGTTTCTGATGCTGAGTTGATGGAAGCCATGACATCCCGCAGTGCAATGTGTGTGTGTGTGTGTGTGTGTGTGTGTGTGACGCTTCCTTCCTGCAGCGCTCTATACAGGGCTGACGTTGCAGTGCAGCAAATGAGAAATAGCGAGGAGTATGTGGATCCGCAGCAGGCAGGCACAAGGGGGGGTGAGAGAAAGAGAGAGAGCGAGGTGGAGGAGGAAAACAGCACCACGCCAACACTGTGCGCCCATCAGCGGCCGCAGCACCGCCTCTCTCGCGCGGCCCACGCTCTCGGCTCCCGTGTGTGTGTTGATACCCGCCACGCACACACAAACAGACAAAGAGAGAGACACACACACACACATCAGAGGGCAAATAAACAGCGACAGTGTGTCCTCATCTGCGAAGAAAAGAAAAGAGTGAAGGAAGGAGACAATGAAACAAAGAAACACAAAAAAAAATATTTGCTTGAGAAAGAAGAGGGGCACACACCCACCGGAACAACACAATCATTCTCTTTTCACCCCCCACGGCCGGCAACACCCACTTACACCGAGTTCCACATGTACAGGGAGAGGGGGGAGACACAAGAAACAGACACACAAAGAAAGAAGAAACAAAAACAAAAAAGAAAAACAGTAGAAACACACACACACACACACACCACTCAGCAAACGGACAGTAGGGAATCACAACCGAAACAGAAATGTCCATTGCAAAACGGAGAGAGACGTGACAAATGGAGTCGATACATATGTCTCGCCATACAAATATATGACTACTTAATATAAAAATCAATAAGATATATATATGTACGAGTTAGCAGGCGTGTACGCATACCTGCATTGCATTGCTGCGTATGAGTGCGCGTCTGTATACATGTGTATTTTCTTCTTTTTTTTTATCTTTTTTTTTGTTTCTTTCTTCTTGCAGTTTCGCGCCCTTGTGCGCGGGCGAGTGCCGCCCACCGTCAATAGTAGTGGTAGCAGCAGCACTGGCACCCGCCTCTATGACAAGTACCCTCTGATCTATGGCCAGGATCACCCCCTTGCACGCGGCCCTACGCGTATGCAACACCGAAGGACGCATCCAACATGCGCTGTATAGAAATATACGGCGCCCATACACGAAGGGATGAAAACCACGGATGCAAAAACAAAACAAAACAGGAAACAACCGAAAACAAAAAAGAAAACACGCAAGCACACCCACAGACCCACACCCACATGTGTGGAAATCAGCGTGTAAGGAGCACTCATTATCAGCTCATAAAATAGCAAACTCAACAAAGTAAATAAGACAGTCACGCACGCATTGAATGAAAAGCTGCAGCAAACGAAACACAGAAATAATGAAACAAATGGGGTGGATGTGAATTGAGACAGCAACCCATCGGTTTTTTTTTCTTTTTTTTTTCTGTGTGTGTGTCTGGTTTGTTTTTGTTTTTCTTTTGCTGTTGTGCTCTGGATGCACACCCACACAGCTAGGTGAATGCCAAGAGAGACGCACTCTGTCATGCCCGTCTCTCACACGCCCGTCTCTCACACGCCCGCATTTAATTGCCGCGCGGGCCGAGGCCTCGGCAACAACAACAACAACAACAACAGCCGCAGCGTGCATTAACATAACCTTCAGCATTGGCCGCCCGCCCCTCTGACGTCTGGCTCGCCTCCCAGACCTGCTCTATTTCCCCACCGCACGCCTCACAGCGCGCAGCAGACATACCCATACGCACACGCACAGAGACGATTTCGCGTTTTGGTTTTTGATTCCTTTTANGCCGCAGCGTGCATTAACATAACCTTCAGCATTGGCCGCCCGCCCCTCTGACGTCTGGCTCGACTCCCAGACCTGCTCTATTTCCCCACCGCACGCCTCACAGCGCGCAGCAGACATACCCATACGCACACGCACAGAGACGATTTCGCGTTTTGGTTTTTGATTCCTTTTACGTCGTGTGCGTGCTCCAAAACTTCTCTTTCAGTCTTCACGTCCGTTGTGCGGGACGCCCCAGACACCCAACGCCAACAAAGTAAACCTGTTGAGGATAAACAACCCTCCCCACGTACAGCATACAAAGACTCACACCCATCGCAACAAAGAAAAAACAAAACAAGAAAGAACGTACGTACAGCTCTGTTCATTTGTTTCCCTGCACAATAGCCATCTGACCTTATTTTCATCTTATTTTTTGGGCCTTCATTCATTCCTTACTCTTGTGTTCATGCAACACAACAAAATGACCCTTCCTCCTCCCCCCGGCTTCTCCAGGGTCCCGTGCCGTGCAGGGGTTCCATGCGCCCCCGCCAAGCTCACACACACACACACACACACATGCATCCCACTCCACTGCTGCCGCGGCTCCGTCGGGGCGGCGGCAAGGCGTGCGCGGGTGGTGACGCACCGCTCAAGCCAATCAACGAAAAAGGACAGCGGCGGAGGGACAATCGAACGGAGGAAAAGAAAAAAAAAAAA